CCCCCCTCCAAGCTTCCCCCTCCTGCCCCGACACCTCTTAAAGGCACCTCCAATTAACACTTTAAATAAAGTCACGCATTGTTCAAAATACATCCTTTCCAACCCCCTCCCCCGTTTAAAACCGAGCCCAGAGGTCACCCCATTGACCACCAGTTGGTTTTGCTCATCACAGCGGTGCTGGGGGGGGAACACTCCCGTGGGCAGCACCGGGGGGGGGTTAGGATGGATATTGGGAGAAATGTCTTCACCCAAAGGGTTGTCAGACACTGGAAGAGGCTGCCCAGGGCAGTGGGGGAGTCGCCATCCCTGGAGGGATTTAAAAGCTGGGCAGACGTGGTGCTGAGGGCCATGGGTCAGTGGGGTTTGGGCAGGGTTGGGTGGGTGGTTGGACTCCATGATCTGAAAGGTCCCTCCCAACCTCGAGCATTCTCCGATTGCGGGCAGAATCCTGGGAAAAGGACCAACTCATCCCACCCCACAACGGCAGGGAGCAGAGGGACAAAGGGAACGCTCGTCCTGCTACAGGGACAAGGAAAGGACCCAACCAACTCCAAAGCAAACCAAGGTCACACCTCCCTTCACCCCAGTCCAGTAACACCCCAAAGGGCTGGAGGGCAAAGCTGCTTTTTTCTTTTTTTTTTTCTGAAAAGCAGAAAGTTTGGGTCAGGAAATCAAAGGTTTGAGGGTGGATTCCCATGTAAAACCGTACCCGTCTCTGGGGCCGCTGGGGCCGGGAATCACCACAGGAGGAGGGGTACAAACATCTTGTATTTTATTAAGCCAGTCGATGTGTTCGGATCACAGTCGAGACGCGCCGTGAGAGCCCCCGCGCTGCCCCTCGTCCCAGCCGGGTCCCCCCCAGCCACCCCCTTTGTCCCCCCGCATGAGCGACCCGTCACAAATCCCCAGGCTGGGCTCGTTTGTGCAAAAGGAGGTGGGGAGAGGAGATTGTCCCTCGCCCCAAACCCAGCCACGCTCCCCTCCCTGCCGGGGAGACGGCGGCAGCAACTCGGGGACCCGGGGCCAACCCTCCTGCCCTTCCCCGTTGTCCCCACCCCGTGCTCTGCCCCAGCCGGACTGGCCAGCTCTGCGAGACATCAAGGGGAAAGAAAAAATAAAAAAAAATAAAATAAAAAAAAAAAGAATCAAAGATGCAAAGGGAAAAGCCAAGGCGCTGCAGGCGGCATCCAGCCCGGCAGGGACAGGAGCAGAAGGAAGAGGCGCTTGGCACGGCCCGTGAAACCGCCCAGCAGCTTGACCAGCACCGGGGTGTCCAGCATGGCACGGGGACAGCCCCAGGGCCACCTCCCCGGGACACCCAGCCAGCCTCGGCCACCGCAAACCCGCGCTCTGCCCACCCGGGGTCACCCCAGAAACTTCCAAGAGCTCAACATGGTGGTAACGAAAAGAAAAATACCAAAACCAAGGAACACACAAAAACACGTTAAAAACAATGCTTTCAGCCCACAAGATTGTTTCCCTTCTTGTTCTCCTTCCCCAGCGGAGCGGGCGCCGCGGGACGAGCTGGGACAGAAGGAGCAGAGCAGCAGGGCTGGCCCTCACCTGCTCTGGAGGCGTGGGGTGAAACCACCATGGGGGGGCTCGCAGGACACCCCCCCAGTGATGGGGACCCCCCGGCAGAGCAGAACCCCACCACCACCCTCAAGTTTCCTTTAGCCCCGGAGACACCAGTGGCCACCAGCAAAACAAGGCAGGGACCCAGCTCCCACATTTGGCTCTGGCTGGGACTGGGACGTGACCCACCAAACTGGGGCAAAGGAGTCCTTCTCCCGGGGAGGAGACTCCAAGCCATGGCGAGGGCTGGGGCAGAGAAGTGCCTTCCTTCACCCCCATCTTAAAAGACCTCCAGTTGCTCCTCCATCAGGAGGCCACAACTCGTCCCCTTCCCCGAGGCCACGCTCTTCTGCGGCTGCGGAGCCTCCTCCCTTTCCAGCTCGGGCTGTCTCTGACTGGGGACACACATCCCCCCAAAAACCCCCAAATTATCCACCAAAAAAACTCTGGTTGCACACTCTGGGGAGAAGTTATTTAAAAAGTCACTGTCCCTCCCCCCTGGGCCCAGAGCTACGGTGTCCTGAAAGGTGCCAAGGGGCAGTTTAGGGTCCCTGGTGAAGGAACAGGCCCTTCTCCTCCTCTCCAGGTGTGCAGATCTTCAGGGAAACATTAAAAGAAGCCCTCAGCAGCTCAGGGCAGCTGCTCAGGGATGGGCAGGGGCAGAGTACAGCAACAGCTTTGCTGTCCTTCAGGAAGAAGCCTCTGAGCTCCCCGAGTGCCCCTGCTGGGGAGGGGGACACCACCTTCCTACAGAAGGGCCAAGTCTATTTACATCTGTTGTTAAATGGCCTCCTGTGTCCAGCCCAAACAAGCCCTGGGTCTGATGGGGGATGCTGAGACTGCCCTTGGACTTGCTGCCACCCTGCTCAGTGGCAGTGTCCACCCCGTCTGCTGTCCCCAGGGCTCGGCCCCCAGCTCTCATCCTGCCCCACGGAGCTGCACAGCCCGAGGCAGCAGTGATGGGCTCGATAGCCAGGCCCTTTATGTGCTTTGCTCTTTCCCCTCCTCAAGACCCAGCTGTGGCCAAGGGAAGCTGAGGATGGCTCCAGCTCCTCGCTGGGGTGATTTCAGCCACACCACGCTCTGCTTTACCAGCCCCGGGCGCTCGCTCTGCACTTCACAGCCAGAAGGGAAGGACAATTGAGCCAGGCTTCAGCTGGAGCCCACCTCCAGGAGGGAGCTGCAGACCTTTCCCTGTGCTTTGCAGCAAGAGGTGGATGGTTTTCTTTCAGCAGCAGGGGAGAAAAAAATATAAAGCAGAGTCCACCATCCCACCCTCCCTCCCTTCCCCTGCACCAGGCTCCATGGAACGAGGAGGACACTTCACCACTCTCAAAGCCAACGGAGGGGCAGAAGGGGAGGTGGCTCTGCCATCCCCCACATCACTCTGGCGACAAGTCCCACACAGCGATTCTCTTTTCCTTCCCCACCCCATCAAACAAAAATAACGAGCTGGACAAACAAATGGCTTCAAATAAACACAGGGGTAGCGCTGGAGGGAAGAGTGACCGATGAGCTCCACGGCCCAGCTCACATCTCTAACAACACCCAAGACGAGTCTTGGACCTGCCCTTCTGTTTCCTTGGCGTAGCCTAGAAAAGCACCGCGAGTTTCAGGAGAAGCTGCAAAAGGAAAAAGCCGTAGAGAAACCCCATCCTTCCACCCCCTGCACCCCGAGGAGCGGGGCTGGAACTCCCCGCGGTGCTCCAGCCGGCCTGCTGCACCCAACGGATCCTCAAGGACTTGTGCTGGTTGGGTTTGTTGGGGTTGTTTTGTGTTTTTTTTTTAAAGTTTTTACCTGAAAACAAATCCTGCCACTCCAATACAATGTGTCATGCTGGGAAGTCTGCACAGATGGGAGTACGGCACTCGCCTTTCCGTGTTATGCCCCTTTTGTAGCAGCTTCTGGGCTGGCCCGTGTGAGGAAACACGCAAAGGTAGAAGACTAGTGGTTTTTGACTTGCATAGCTGCTGTGAGTCCACGTTGATGGAGACATCTTGTTTCTTGAGTATGCTGGCGCAGGGTGAACTACAGAGAGGCCGTTCAGCCCGTTCCCCACCGCTCTGCTGTCCCGGGAGCAACCCGTTTCTTCATTTCCAGCACCGGCGTGTGACAGGAGGACACAGGTCAGACACAGGTTGCTCGAGATGCCGTCAGGATGGGAGGTCCCTCGCAGGTCACACGGGGAATTAGCTCTTCCAGCATCCGTCCAGGTCACGTCATCCCTTCTGTGTGGGGATGCTAAAAGCGCTGCACGGGCTGCGCTGCCTTCGCCTGCCCCGGAGGGATGGGGGGTACAAAGGCTCCAGTTCTGCCACCCTCTCTGGCACGGCACAGCAGCAGCGGGGCATTGGACAACCAGCAGAAGAGAGAATGGCTTCAAGATCCTCCTTCCTCCTCCGCACCTCGTTGCAAAATTGAGAGAGGAAAAAAAAAAAACAAAAAAACACAAAAAAGGGAAAAAAAGAAAATAACAAGAAAACAAAGAAGAGGCATTGGGTCCTTCGGCGATGTCTGCTCCATCCCAGGGTCCTCAAGCCAAGTGGCTGAGCCTTAGCAGTGTTTAAATCCCACATGGCTCTTCCCTCTCTTCCAGCAGCTCTGCCGGATTCCACTCCCTGTCCCCAAGGCCTAATGGTGGGAGCGGGAGGGTCGGGGGAAGGAGGGCAGAGCCCTTTTTGCCTCTGGAGCAGCCTGGCCCCTGCCGTTGCTCAGGACGCGTGGAGCTGGTGAGGAGAGCAGGGACGTGCCCTTCAGACTGCTCTCTCCTCGCAGGCCCTTCGCACCAAGCCTGCTCCGTGGGGGGCAGGGAAAGGAAATAAATATGCTTGTTCAAGGAAAAAAAAAAAAAATTATATTAAGAGCTTTCCCCCCCTTTTAAATAGCATAATTGTTTCCTTTTCTCTCTGACATCGGAAAAGTATCCATAACCCCAGAGGAACTCCACTTTTTTTTTTTTTAATATTATTTATATTTATAAAAATTAAGAATTAAAAGGAAAAAAAAAAGCCCCTTGAAAAATAATTCAAAGGAGGGGGAAAAAATTTAAAAAAAAAAAGAAAAAATAAAGAAAAAGAAGACTATCTGCTTTCCTGTCACCATATTGCCAAACAAGAGCTAAACACTCTTTGGATCTTCTTTCCCAAGCGTAGGAGGGCTCCATTTCTGCTGCGCTGGTTTGGTTTCCTTAAAGTCAAGTCTGCTCTGTAGCAGCCGCCTGCCCGCGCCGGGGGTTTCGGCGTGTGGGGGGAGCGGGGCGGGGGAATGACTGCCCGTCTCTCGCCCGTCTCTGCCGACTGGGAGAAGGGCAGAGCTCGGCCTCGGCCGCCCGAGGTGCCTCTCTCTTCTCAGAGCAGTTGGCGCCGTCGGAGATGTACAGGCGTCTGGTCGGGATACGGGTGGAGGGTGTCCATGTGCGTGCCCAAATTGGAATATTTTTTTTTCCGGGTTGTTTGTTTGGGTGGTTTGCTTTTTTTTTTTTTGGTAGATTATTTTTTTTCTTATTGTTGTTGCTGCTGCTGCTGCTGCTTCTTCGTGTCTAAGTGTCGCCTGGATTTTTGTTTCCTTCGTTCAGACGCTGCACGTTCCGAGAGGGGGAGAGAAAGGTACACCAACCCGATGCCTTTCTGAACATCAGCCCATCTCTTTCCACTGCTTGTAGAACTCCAGAACGTTTTTGATTTCTACGCTGGCGTTGGCGGCTGCCTGGATGGCAGACTGCAAGCAAACACATGCAAAACAGGGTTTTGGTTTTTTTTTTCCTTGCCCCGTCAAAAGGACCCCCCTTCCCAACCTGGAGATGCTCAGGCAGAGTTTGTCGTGGCTAAAAGACCCAATTCTCCTTTGTGCCAAAGCCACTCTGTCACAAGGGGCTTGCAAATGACTTCTCCCACCTCCCCCAGAGACGCTTCGCACCACAAAAGCATGAAAAATCAAGGGGCCTTCAAGGAAATAGGAACCATGATCTATAAACTAAATTTGGGAAATCCAGGACAGTTACTACCCAAGGCAGAAAATATGAAAAAAAAGGACTTCTTTTGCCAATCAACCAGATTTTGAGCTTGCTGGGAAGCAGAAAGGCTCAGCCAAGAGCCACTGACCTGCATGGGCGCTGAGAACACACTGGGGTCCTCCAGCTGGAAGCCTGTGATGATGGTGACCATTCCGGTGGTGTCATCCTCTCCGCTCCCCTGGGACACCGTCAGCTGTTTGCAACTGTCCAGTATTTTATACAGATTCCTGCCACACACACACAGGCGCAAGAAAAGAGAATCAGAGGGGAAAAGTCAGAGGGAAAACCTCTTGTTTGTGCAAACAGTTTCATATATGAAACACATGGAAGGCAGGAGTGTTTCTCTGTTGCCTGTTGAGGGTTTTTCTGAGACCCTTCTTAGCACCAAGTGTTTGATGCTACACGAGATGGATGCTCTAACGCTCTCTCTAGGGAATTCTATAATTACTCACATACAGCACCAAATCAAGCCGCGTGACGGGTCCCAGTGTGAATAACCCCTCCCCAAAGTCACCTTCCTGCTGGGAGCTGGGCTCAGACACCTCCAGATGCTGTATCTTACCAGGCATCTAAATCTTGTCTCTTCAATTTATGCCTCTCAAAGCTCTTCCCGACGTCCTTCTGGCAACGGATGTACCTGAGGGAAGATCAGAGTCACTGAGCTCTCACGGAGACCGTCACGCAGAGGAGTCAATGCCCTGCAGCAGGGTCTGCCAGGTGCTGCGGGACCCTTTCGCAGTGCTGCCTTTTATCAACCAAAATAATGAGAATAAATGAATTCCTTTAGGTCATCTCCCATCTCACCCCCATCGCTGCGTGCGGTCCCCAGTATCACACGTGTTTGAAAGCCCACCAGCCCCGACACAGGCTCTTGAAGATGCAGTCTGTCCTCACAGCAGCACAGCAGTTTGTCCTTCTACAGCCACCCTGGGCGGTAACGCCGTACAACTGTTCCAGCACCCCCAGAGCATCAGTGCAAGGTACTGCTCAGTTTTATACACCCATAAAGAGAAGCAGCTCCCTCCAGTTCCTCAGAAGCAGTGACATTTCACGGCTGGAGCAGCAGCTACAAGTGCATGTGGAGAAGCAGCCACCAAATCTGTTACTTCAGCACCTTCCCTCTCACCAAGCACATTCCTGAGGCCTTGCCCCCCTCCTGGCTCTGCTCCAGGGGATGCACAGCGGGATGCTCCTGCTATCGACATCATCTTCCACCCCAAAATAACACCCGTCAGTCCCAAAAGGCAGGACAAAATTGCACCACTCTCACCTGTTTCCCTTTTTGAATTCTGCCTCCAGATACCGGATGCTGTCCCGAGCACCTGCATTCTCCTTTTTCAGGAAGTCTAAGCCATCGATCACTAACAGGGAGAGAAAAAAAAAAGAAAAAGAAGGAAAACCATCTGGTTTACAGCTCTGCTGCTGCAAACTAATCCAGATGTGTCAAGAATTCCTCATCCCACTGAAGTGTCTCTGGTGCACAGCAGCAGTGGCTGCCACGGGAGGCAGAGGGTGAACAGGGCCTCTCTCCTTCCAGCTGTGTTGGATGGTAGATTCCAAACATGGGCCACACATAAAACAGGCCTCAAAAGCAACACGTGGAAAGAGTTTTTCCAGCTGAAGTGAAGGACAACAGCAGGAGGAGGGAAAGCCACCACCCTGGCCCCCAGGGCTTCCTCTCTAGCACGAGGGGCTGAGGGGAAGGCAGACTCGGTGACTGAGGAGGAGCCCCCGTACCTGTTCGAGGGATGATGATTATGAACCTCCCGCTGGTGGCCAGCTGCTTGATGACAGCCAGGTGCTGGCAGAGGGCCTGGGTGTCAGGGACAAGGTAAGGAGACATGGCTGACTGTGCTTTGGGCTGCTGGAGACTTCCCTCCAGCTGAGAAACCTCCAGCTGAAAAAAAAACAACACGTGAGCAGAGACACTTGTTTCACATTTATGCTGAAAGAAACCATTGAACAGGGCAAGACTCGCCCTGTGAAGGTCCATCAAGCCCTGCCACCCTCCCAGCAGAGGGAGGATGCAACCAGGAGGTCAGAGGGAGGCGACTGTCCCGCTCTGCGCTGCACTGGTGTGGCCCCACCTCGAGTTCTGGGTGCAGTTTTGGGGACCTCAACACAAGGACACCGAGTGCGACCAGAGGAGGGTGACCAAGATGGTGAAAGGTCTCGAGGGCAAGATCTATGAGGAGGGGCTAAGGTCACTTTGTTTGTTTAGTTTGGGGAAGAGAAGGCTGAGGGGTGCCCTCATCACCCCTCAAAGTGTACACCTTCCTCAAGGGGGGCAGAAAAGGGGGAGGTGCTGATCTCCTCTCTCTGGTGACCAGCGACAGGACACGAGGAAATGGGACAAAGTGGCAGGAGGGGAAGTTCAGATTGGCCATGAGGAAAAGGTTCTTCACTGTGAAGGTGGTGGGTCCCTGGAACAGGCTCATGGCTCCCGTCAGGGCTCACGGAGCATCTGGACAACACTCTCAGGCACACAGTTTAGCTTCAGGTAGCCCTGGAGGAGCAGGGAGTTGGACTCCATGAGCTTTAGGGGTCCCTTCCAACTCGAGATATTCTATAACTCTGTCTTTGCAGAACAGACGCTGCCTCTGTGTGGGATGGGAGCAGAGAGCTCCCCCTTCCCTTCCTCGTTTCACCATCTCAGCCACCGCCCCACCAGTTTTCAGGCTGGAACCAGCATCTCCTACCTGCAGTCGAAGCTGAGCCATATCTCTCATTAGCCTGTTCCGACGAGCTTCCTCTGCAGCCTGGTTACAGAAACAAACTTCCATATCAGTTAGCAGGAAACACACAGGCTGACACTACCCCATGCTTCCAGAAATGGAAGTGTGCAGTGGGCAGCTGCAGTCCAGAAGGCCAACCCCATCCTGGGCTGCATCAAAAGATGCGTTGCCAGCAGGTCCAGAGAGGGGATTCTGCCACTTTACTCTGCTCTGGTGAGACCTCACCTGGAGTATTGTGTGCAGGTCTGGAGCCCTCAATATAAGAAGGACATGGACCTGATGGAGAGGGTCCAGAGGAGGGCCACAAGGATGATCAGGGGGATGGAGCACCTCTGCTCCAAGGACAGGCTGAGGGAGCTGGGGTTGTTCAGCCTGGAGAAGAGGAGGCTCCGGGGAGACCTAATAGCAGCCTTCCAGTACCTGAAGGGGGCCTACAGGAAGGCTGGGGAGAGTCTGTTTAGAAAGGCCTGTAGTGACAGGACGAGGGGCAATGGCTTCAAGCTGGAGGGGAACAGATTTAGACTGGAGATGAGGAGAGGGTTCTTCACTGTGAGGGTGGTGGAGCACTGGGACAGGTTGCCCAGGGAGGTGGTTGAGGCCCCATCCCTGGAGATATTCAAGGTGAGGCTCAATGGAGCAACCTGGTCTAGTTGGGGGTGTCCCTGCTGACTGCGGGGGGGTCAGACTAGATGACCTTTGGAGGTCCCTTCTGGCCTGGACAATTCTATGATTCTATGAAATGGGGTGAAGAGGGGACACCTGAGCAGCTTCAGGGAGCAAAACCCTCATCTCCCAACAAAGAGCTGCGATTATAGTCACAATCTAACAGTAATCTAGAGGAAACTGTGCCAAGTACAGAGAATTAGCCCACCTCTGCCAACTCACCATGTGAAACTGGGCCTGGGCCTGGTGCAGCAGGTTGTCCTGCTCCGCCTGGGCTATGCTGATGAAGATCCCGAGCTCCGAGTTGAACTGCAGGATGCTGCCTTGCAGGTGGGTAATGAAGTGGCCAAAGCTCCGAATGCAGCAAATCCGAACCACAGACTGCAAAGAAGCAGACGGGGAATCACCAGCCGCGTCTCCCCGGGCGGGCCGTGGCCAGCTCCCACCCTGCAGCTCACGGAAAAGGCTATTACAAAACCCAAAGGAACCATTTCTGATGGAAAAGGAGGACTCTTTGCCAGGAAGTGTAATGATAGGACAAGGGGAAATGGTTTTATATTGGAAGAAAAAAGATTCAGATTAGATATCAGGAAGAAATGTTTTACTATGAGGGTGGTGAGACACTGGAACAGGTTGCCCAGGGAAGTTGTGGCTGCCCCATCCCTGGAAGTGTTCAAGGCCAGGCTGGATGGGGCCTTGAGCAACCTGCTCTAGTGGGAGGTGTCCCTGCCCAGGGCAGGGGGGTTGGAACTCCATGATCTTTGAGGTCCCTTCCAACCCAAACCATTCTATGACTCTATGAAAAGGGCTTCTGAAGACAGAAACCGCAGGAGAGGGCTGCAGGAAAGCCTACAGTTGGCCAGAAAGTGTAGAAGTGTTTGCAGTTTGGGCTTCCCCAAGTCAAGAAGACCTCAGAGAACATCAGCAGGCTCTCCTCCATATATCCCTGCTCAAGCCTCTGCGCTGGAAAAAGGAATCAAATAAAACAACAATTTTGGGGCAGGCATTTGGCTACTGAGCACAGGCAGAGGCAGGTGAGCTGTCGCGGGGTGTGAGATTGCTGCACTTGATGCCATCCCAGACCTCAACAGCCACATTGCTATTGAACAAACACGTGTCCCATGGCACGTCTCAGCAGTGCCCTCAAACCCAGGGAGAAGGTGTTAATGTGTTCCCTTTTCCAAAGGGAGCAGACAGGTCTCACGAGGCAAGACAGGAGAAGAAGGATTGGGTTTTTCTGGGCACCTCCACTACCCAGAACCCATCACCTTGGCCCTCCGTGCATGGGAACACAGAGAGAAGTGCTCCACCAGGGCCCAGAGAGCCACATGAAGAGAGACTTCACCGACTTGGGCGTTTGCTAGAGAAGGGTCACAGAAGTATCCTTCAGCTCCAACCAAATTCCCTTCATTCAAGGCAGAGACAACTCTTCTGCCCAGACAAGGAGGTCAACATGTGACTCTGCTCCCTTTCATGATGGCTCTGACAGGGAAGGGAAGGCAAGTTTTTGAGCACTGATTTTTGGATACAGATGATAAACTGCAGCAACCACCAGTAACTCAGACTCAAAAATTTACATCAGTTTGGGGTCTTTTTGGCAAGAAAGAACTAGATCGTCACCTGCCCAGCTAAAAGGCTGCACCTTGTGCCGAGATTCAGGATTTACCCTGACTCACCTCCTCCACTGCTGAGAAAATGGGCCGATCCTGCTCGAAGTTAAACCTCTTGTGTGCATTTTTCAGAGGGGGAAGATTTCGCAGGGCCACATCTTCTGGGAGCAGCAAGTTGGCCTTCAGGTCTGGGAGCTCAGCACTGCTCAGGATATCCTTGACTTCATTACAGAGGGCCAGCCCTGCAGAGGACAGAGGGGAAACACAGGGGATGGTGACTTAAAAAACTGACATGGGGACAAAGAGGAAAATTGCTTTAAAGGCACACAATTTAATGATCGGGGGAGAGGTTTTAAATTACATGTGCACTGTGAGCGTGTGTTGAAGGAGGAACAAAAAGGCCACCCACAACATAAAGAGTAACCGTCCCAAACAACCTGCTGAGGCACAGCACTTCCGAAAATCTGTAGTTTGGAGGGTTAGCTTTGGGTTAGCTTTCCTTTTGTTCCAACGGACAAACAACTCTGCTTAAATTATGCTCCTCAAGAACCATAGGGATCTTCAAGCTGAGGTATAGGGCACATCACAGGTGTCTGACAGGCTGAGAGAGTTGGGATTGTTCAGCCTGGAGAAGAGAAGGCTCCAGGGAGACCTTATAACAGCCTTCCAGTACCTGAAGGGGCTACAGGACAGTTGGGGAGGGACTCTTGATCAGGGAGGGGGGCAACAGGACGAGGAGGAAGGGTTTGAAGCTGAAAAAGGAGAGATTGAGCTGCTATGTGGGGCAGAAGTTCTTTGGTGTGAGGGTGGTGAGAGCCTGGCCCAGGTTGCCCCGAGAAGCTGTGGCTGCCCCATCCCTGGAGGGGTTCAAGGGCAGGTTGGAGGGGGCTTGGAGCAACCTGGGCTGGTGGGAGGTGGCCCTGCCCAGGGCAGGGGGGTTGGAACTCCATGATCTTTAAGGTCCCTTCGAACCCAAACCATTCTATGATTTTATGATCACGAGCATTTGGAGCTTCAAAACTCATTTCCACAATTGCCATGCATCGTGGTTTGGGCCAGACTGGCCACTGAGATGAATGACAGATGCTCTCCTCATCCTCAAAATCGTACCCTTCCTTAAGGTCTTGAGACTTAATTCCAACCACATTGGCCACACAAGGACTTCATGCACAAAGGTGCGAGTGTTCCGGTATATTGTCAACCATGTATAACAGATTATTAATAGAGTTAAAGCCTATGGGACAGTAATTAACTGGAATGGTGTTTAAACACAAAAACAACACACACACGATGTCGCTTCCCGTTGTCCCTACAGGCAAACTGCTTCCAGCCAATCTCTCACCCCGGGATCTCTCACACCCCACAGAAGTCCCTGGTGACCCAGACATTACACTGCCACTTCCTCCTCCAGTACCTGATTCCTGCAGGTCCGCAGCAGAAGGCAGAAGGTTCAGGAGCACAGACAGCCTGTTCCACAGGCTCTGAGAGCTCTGCAGGAACAGAACACAAAAGGCCACAGAAAAGGTCAAGACAGATGTACACAATAACCAGACCGCTTGGGCTTTCCAGCATCTTTCACAGACCTCAGAACGCTTTATGAAGGGTAGATTTCACTACACTTCTTAGGTCAAGATTATCCAAATTCAGTTGGGGGGGTATTTAATATCACCTTCTGTCCAGGACTGGGGTGGTCCTGGACAACGTGCTCTGAGTATTCCAGCCCAGGGAAACGGAACAGACACCAAGCAGGGTTCCTACCTGAGCACACATGATGATGAGGTCCGTGTTTGTCCTCAGCCAGTCCAGGAACACCTTGACAGTGAGCAGCAGCCCTTCATTGGTCACGATCTCCAGCTTCTCTTGAAGGGATCGCTCATTCCTGCAGGATTTGTTACTTGAAATGCTTTCCTCGGAGTCAGACACATCATCTGGAGGAGGAAGGGAAAAGCAGGATGGCAGGTGTTAAACCCCTTGAGCAGCCAAGCCCTACTGGAATGGGAACAGCGCTGGGTTGGCAAGAGTAGAGCTGAACTTCTCCGGTGCCTTCACACACCCTCACAAAACCAGTTCCCTGTCCCCGCTGCTGCTAAGAGCGTATCACTGTTGCATTTTCTTCTTTGGGAGAAGATTGCTAAAAATTTCCCCGTGAAAACACCTTAACCCCTGCAGCAGCCCCCGAGGTGCTCACTAACAGAGCCGGGGGAGCAGCACGTGCAGCACAAGGACCAGGATCAGATCGTTCTCGGAGCCAGCGATCCCTGTTCAGGTCAACGTGCACCAATCTTTGGGTCACACAAGAGAAGAAAATGGCAGGGCTATTTCATGAGCCAGGGTGCAGGTGATTTTAAATACAGAATATGCTTTGCCATCTTGTAATTCTACAGACCTGAGGATCTCAAAGCCAATGAAACTGCACTCGAGCTACAGGAGTGACCCGAGGTGAAGGTAGCAGCAAGCTGGGAATCAACGACACATTTTGCTACAGTCCCTTACTTTAATTGCACAGTCATTTCTGCCTATTAGCACAGCAATTATCATTCAATAAGCCCTCAGAATCAAAAGGGAGGAAGTAATTTATTCAGAAACCATCCCTGATAGAGTGTTAAAACCATTAAATAGCTCGAGTTTTGAAACAGCACAGCTGAGGCAAGGAGAGCTCAGAGCTAAAAAGCACATGGATTAATTCATTCAACCTGGCTCATCCAACCTCTCATCTTCTACAGCTATAAAGGTATCGTGGCCACACTATTCAAGCATGTTCCTGGAGCTAAAACATCTGGGTAACCCATTGAAGGAAAACGTTCAACAGACCAAAAATCATTTGTTTCTTCCTTTACCCCGATCTCTTTCAAGTGGCTACGAAGCAACGCCGGGAGCCAGTAAACATTAACATACTCCCCCTTCAAACCCTGGCGCAGGCAAAGCCCGAATCCTGCCAGTGCTGCAGGCCCACGGAATTTGGCAGGAGGATGTAAAAATGTTTCCTTGCTCCAGGGAAGCTGGGAGGAATGACAAACAAGACCGAACAGGCCCATGTGGTTTTATCTGAAATACAAACAACTCCCTGTAGTGCATCACATCTCCCTTTCAAGCTGATTTTTCCCAGAACATTGCTCAGCTGTGGAAGCTGTGCAGAGACATCGCAGCTCCACCTGCTGTGTGGCCAAGGGCTGGTCTGGCCCCGAGCGCCTGGCGAGGCAGCATTCGGAGGGGCACGGAAAGAGACCTCCCCAACTCCCCTCGCACGCACCTAGATCACATCTCACGAGTTGGGAGCCTCTGAGTTTTGCAGACTTGACAATCTGATATCTCATGGAGAGCGTCCTGGACGGCGTCTGCACCGCCCATCACTAGGAAGTGTCTGATTACAGAGATTTCACATGGGGAAAAGGAAGATAATCCGAATTTTTAATACCTGCTGGAATTATCCTCTGTATTATCAGAGCTGCTCAGCATTTAGCCTGTTGAGCAGGACAGCAGATAACCCTGGCTGGCTGCAGGCGTTCCCTTTGCTCAGCACACATATTCCTGGATGTCAGGATATAAGAATAAAGCTCCTCCTCCAAGAAACACCCAACCCAAGATCTACCCAGTACCTGGGCAACCTGCTCCTCCAAACCTGGCCAATGAAGAACTTGCACCATGAGAAGAGGTGGATTTTAGCAAAGAGAGCACTCCAGCTCACAGTTTTCTACACAGAACTTCAACAATAAATACTTTGAACGAGGTCACCGATCCTTACCTTGCTCTGCCAAGCCAGGCTTCTCCAGATCTCCGTTGACACATGGCTTGTTTTCTAGTCCATCCTTCAAGATGGGTGGGTCACTGTTCGGTTTGAGAAGGATGTTGCTGAAAGTGGGAGCCAAGCGGAAGCAGCGTTTGGTCTGGAACAGCTGGGTGGACATGGCCTGGAGGTTACTGGCGATGCTGGCGTCGTTAGTGCTCAGGGAAGCCGGGCCATTGACCGCGGGATCCGGAGCCTCAGTTTTAGAGCTGTTTGGGCTCTTGGAGTCCCCAAGCCCGTTGCCATCCACACAGTTTTTTAAGGCCTCTTTGGGCCCACTTTTGCCTCGGCCGCTCCCCTCCTCACCCGGCTCATCCTCCATGTCCTCCAAGTCAGACCGCGATTCTTGGCTGTTCATGTCAGAATCTGTCTCCACGTCAAAAGCAGCTTCTGCTTCCTCATCACTCTTCTCTGAGCCGCTTTCTGAGCCATCGCTGCCCTTTATGGAGCCCTGGCTGGAGTCAGAGTCAAAGCCCTCGCTCAGGTCACTCTCATCCACCTTCTGGGGGTGGCGGCGGCGACGCAGACAGGAAAGGCGGGAGTATTTCTTGCTTTTCTTGCAGTCGTTCTTCCGTTGTTCCTCGCTGGGCTGATGGTTGGCCAAGTCAGCTTCAGCTTCCTTCTCGATCGAGTTCAAGGGCTCCCGCGGCTCCTGGTCATCTACCGGCATTTAAAATGAGACCACAAGTTAAGAAAGTCCTGATGTGTCACAGGAGCTGCTTTCCAGCCCTAAGCCTGGGGAACCAGCACTGCAAACTTCAGCCATCGTTTCCATCAGTGTCTTCAACCAGAGAACAAGCAATGGTAGCCCTAGGAGGAGGACTCACTTTCCAAAATACTTTCTGGTCTAGTGGGGGGTGCCCAGCGCAGGGGGGTGGAACTGGATGATCTTTAAGGTCCCTTCCAACCTAAACCATTCTATGGTTCCATGGTTCTATGATAAAAGAAGCCCAGAAAGACTTGGGGCGCCTGGATTCCTCCCACCCAAGCTGTGCTGCTCCGTTATCAGGCAGCCTCAGTGCTGAACGCTGTTAGATCAGCATAAAATACACACCTGAATCTTAAATATTTTCCCCAGCTTCCTACAGCCTGAGAGCAAAGCGACCCACTGAGCAGGGTGAGGGCACATGCTGGTTGGTTTGATTAAACCACCCCCTCTCCCCTGGAACCAGGCTGAGCTGACCCAGCCCCTTCCTCGACCAACAGCCCACAGCCCTTCCAGCAGCGCCGTCACCCTGACAGCTTCAAAACCCATCCACTGGTGCTTTTGACCAGGAAACCCCTGGTCATGCCTTCTGTGAAATATTACAAATCGATTGTTTGCCAGGGATAGATTCAGCAGTTTTATTCTCTGCTCAACAGGATCCCCCAGAAATTAAAGATGTTGTTTTGTCTACACAGAGGTGAGGTGCTGAGCGGGACCCGCCTCCCTGAGACTCTGCTCTGCCCAGGTGTTTCACCCGAGATCATCTCCTCAGTGGAGGAGAAGAGAGTCCAATAAATAACAGCAAATAGAGACAGAAAATAAGGAGCACAGATTGGGGTAAACAGATGATGAACGAGCTGCCAAGAGATACAGGAAGATAATTCCTTACAACAAGGAAAGCAACATTTTCATCCTGCGATGATTCCGATACTCACAGAGAGTGTTTAAGTGGAGGCTGTCTCAGCAGATTACCCATCTTTGGGGATTTCAGCCCAGCAATCAAAGATCAAGATGTCTCTAATTAGCACAACTCAGGCACTACACTACAAAACCCCTGCCCAGGAGATTTAGGGAAGACAAGTACAAGCCAGCCCTAAGGGCGGGCACCCGGGGAGACACAGTTTATACTTATAGTGCCCTCTCTTACCTGTGCCATCGCTCTGGAAGGCTGGGACTGGATTTTCCCCTTCCTCCAGCTCTGCCTGGAGGCGAATATTGACGTGATTTATCAGGTGAGAGAAGAGGGCCAGCGTGAAGGCGATAGCTGCGCTGTACTGCTTTGAACCTGCAACAAGAGAGGGTAAAGAGGTGGGGAGACTGGCCACCAGCCCAAAACAGGAACGCCAATTAAGACAAGATCTTCAGCCTAACTGGACTGCAGAATGTTAATTACTGAATTCTGAATAAAGCACTGGTTACCTGCCCTCTTGAGGCTGTGAACACTCATAAGGCAGATGATCACCATGCGAAAGATGAGGAGATCAGGAAGGAAGGAGTAGCCACTCTCATACTCTTCTTCATCTTCACTAGTCGAGCTCAGGTTAGGAGGAGAGGGCAGGTAGAACAAGCACAGGTTGAAATCCTCCAGCACAGACTGGCAGAGAGATGTCAGCTCAGAGTCCAGAGAACTTCACAAGAGGAACAAATAAACAAGAATTATTATTCAAGACTCAAACTCCTGGCAATGTCTGCGTGGAAACTGAACCAAACCCAGCAGTTGGGCTATTCCTTCGCACCAGACAGGATGAAGCACCAGGGAATGTACTGCAGGCAACAACAGCTTCGGGAAGCAAGGGACATGAATCACATTATGCTTTCCCCTCCAAAGCTGCTGAACTAAAGACAAACGATAACGAGAGCACCTCCCTGCAGAGATGGGTCACCCAAAAATACGTGAGTTCTTCCCCAGGAGCTCAGGCAGCAGCCACTAAGATACACAGGGCACCTCAATGCTAACAGCAGCAGTTCCAGATCCGCTGCTCAGTTAAAGGATGCCATTGCAGCACACAAACTGGGGACTCAACTTCTCCTCCTCCCCTGGCTCTAACTTGCAGCCCTGTAAGAATATTCTAAAATCCTGAGTCGCTATTGGCTCCCTCAAAGGAAGCACCTGCGGTACAATGGGCTACAGGAGTCTCCTAGTTACAAAACAAACCCATCTGCAAAACACCCAGCAAATTCTTTTCAGGGGGCAATGTGTTTGGGAAACTGAAGTAATTTCCAATTTTCTTCCATGCTAAATATGTGTTAAGCAGATATTAAATGAGCCTTGAAGTTCCACTCTGGCACAAGTCAATATTGGAAAGCTAATCCCATACTGGGCTGCATTAGCAAGGGCACGGGATCTGAAACTTTTTGCTGCCTTCAGCATTCTCCACAGGAGAATGATTATCCTTCTGCATTTGGCACTGGTGAGATGGCATCCAGAGCACTGTGTCCAGTCTCGGGGTCCCCAGTACAAAACAACCCAAACAGGAAGACACTGACAAACTGGACTGTCCAGGGGAATAGAGAATGTGATGTATGAGAAGAGGCAAAGAGCACCGAGTTTCTTCAGCCTGAAAGAGAGAAAGCTTGGGGGGCGTAATCTTCTGTTTTCAGATGCCAAACAGGTGGCTACAGAAAACTGAGGAAGACTCTCCTCAAAGGCACTCAGCAAAAGGAAGGGAAGTGATGGGGACAGGCTGCAGAAAAGGAAAATATGACTAGATGTAAGGAAAAAAAAAATTCCACAGTGAAGGTGGTCAGATACTAGAAGGGGAACCAGAGAGGCATAGAATCTCTGTCCTTAAACCCATTCAAAACTCAGCTCGATGAGGCTCGGAGCAACTTCATCCGACCTCACATTTGAATCTACCTTCACAGTGGACCTCCAGAAGGTCCCTTCCAACCTAAACTATTCCACAATGAATTTAACTGTAGCCTGTGACAAGCCCTTTAAAACACCTGCTCTGTTTGAAGAAGCATGAGGTTAATTTACAACCACCTGAAAACCTCCCAGCAGAGACAGAGAAAAGCCAAGGAGAAAAAAAAAAAAGCAATCAAAACCCAAATCACCCAGCTGTGCAGAGCGTGCCCAGGTTACGCTGTTTATGCTGTTTCTTTGAAGGAGGTATTTGGTTACACATTTCCCAACGCCATGTGCAGCCCCACACACGTACAGACAGCGACTCTGCGCCGTCCCATCGGCCCCAACCCAGAGCTTGCCAGGAAAAAGCATTTGATGAGTGAAGAAGGCAAGGAAACACCGAAGGCACAGTGCGGCACAGCACGGGGCTCAGGAATTCCTTCACTCAGCCACTGGCTTGATTCAGCCAGAGCTGCAAAGCAGTTAACCCTTTGGTATTTCAGCCTCCCTTGGAAGACAGTCGTCTTTGCTTTCCCTGCAAGGTTAGAAGACTGAAGTCTTGGAGCTTTTGGCAGAAAGCCCCAGCACTGTCATCCTGCAGGGAACAATCTCTTCCAATTCTGAATTCTGCTACTGTTCAGTTACCAACCGAAGACAGAATCTGCTGGAACCCTTACCTGCTCTTTGGCTGCAAAAGACTCTGCAGGTACATGAAGCTCACCAGCAACCTCTTAATGTCTTTGCCTCTAAAAAGATTGAGAAGAAAACACCGTAAAGCAGGTACCTCGTCACAGGGACTAGACTAACACAGCTCTATTAATAGGTAAACCGGGTCCCGATTGAAAACTACATTCTGGTGAAACTGGAGAAAAAACACAGCTTATACGCTTCTAACTTCCAGGGGAGAGCGAGAAAATCTCTCACCTCAAACTCTACACCCAGCCAGCGTTTAGCTTTTCTCCTGAAATTATGACCCAAGAGATAAAGAACATGATCTAGATTGGGGCTCTCAAAGTCCTGGGAACAGTCACAGCCATCCACCAGCTCCCACTTCCCAGAAAGGCACTACCTCAACCCAGAGGGTGACACTGGTGGCACTGGGAGCCCCCAGCCCGTGCCCCTCTCCTTTGCTGTTCCTTCTCACCGTTTCTTGCTCGGAGACAACTTCCTGGTCTCACATTTCTTCAGCTGGTGATACATTTTGGCTGCTTTGTCGTACAGCCGCTTCAGGTTCCCGTAGGCACCCTCGAAGGACACTTCAGACTGGATACTGAGATACCAAAACAGAACACATCAAAAGTTACTCTGCCACAAGGTTGCTCACATTTTATGGCTTTAATTCACAAGAAGGTTACTCAGGTCTCTAAGCACGAAGACAGGTACCGAGTGCTTTTGTTTGAACATGCTGGGCTACGTAACCCCCACTGCTGTCTGCAAACCCCACTTCAGGCTGTTCCACAGCTCCACCTGCAACGTTCACACACCTTTTCAGATACGTGCCTTAGGGCCATGTTGAGGTAACTGAATTCCACCCACCCCACTGTGTGGGGAGCCTCACTCAGCACCTCTGTTCCCCTTCACACCCGGCTCCAGCACAGGCAGAGGGTCTCAGATCAAACCCTGCCCTCCAAGTACGGCCCTGGACAGGTATTTTAGCGACCAGCACGATGGTTTGGTTCGACAAGGCTCCTTCTTACTACCAGTCCTGCTCAAGGGTGAAATAAACTTATCTCTCTTTCCCCTCCCCTGAAGCTCATCTGCTGAAGACAGTCCCAAGTCCAAAGTAAAGGAGAAAAGAGTCTGGCAGCAGCAGCCAGAGTGCTCTGGTTCTCTGTCCGGGAAGCCAAGGTCCCCACCGACACTCACCAGCGCAAGTAGCAGTAGGTGGCCTCCACGTTGTAGTACTTGCTCCCCGCCAAGGTCCCCAGCTGGTTAAAGGGCATTCCTGTCACAAGAGGGAGGGACAACGCCGTTAACTCACACTCTAATGGCCCTGCTGGAAAGATCCTTTCCCTCTCACTACATTCTCACGCAGGAGGGAAGTCAGGAGACACAAACTGTAGTATAGCTACAGAACCAGATCTGGACTACTCCATCCTTTCGACACCCAGGGCTTTTTTTCTGTTTTATAGGGCTTTTAGATCCTCCCCACCTTCCTGCCAGTTATCTACATAAGAAAGCAGAGCAAACAATATGCTTCCTCTGTATGAATAATGCCCCAGCCTCGATGCTCTATTCCTCCTGACACAGATGTCATCTTATCAGTGTCTAAAAGCTCTGTCCCAGCTCACTGTGGTACGTAAGTTTTTGTTGTTTATTGGTGTTTGGGATCAGTCTGTCACACAACTCACTGAGAGCTCTGCAAAGACAGTACAGAGAAAACACTTTTTATGGTAAGACAGGCCCTCGACTCTTGCCACAACGTGTTCTCCTAAGGCAGTCACTTCTGAAGGAGATAGGAGCATGTGAAATTTTTTTTGCAGTGGTAAAAAGAGGGAGATGACTAATAATGCTCCACTTCTGGCAACGGACAGCTGGATCTTCCCTTAGCCAGACAAGCACAACGTTACCACATCCACGGAAGCCTGAGCTGCTCCGAGGTTATCAGATGGGTGAGTTGAGGTCACTGGCAAAGGGCATCAATGCTTTAACTCCTCTCTTTGGCTTGGCAGCAGGAGAGGGATTCTCAAAGAAGGAAGTAATTTTGACCAGAAGATAAAACCACTCCTCTCTCAGCAGCAGGATGCAAACCTAATGTCCTGGGTTGAGGGATACAGGACTAGCTTTTCTTCTAAGGCTGGAGAAAACTGCACTTTTAGAAGACTCTAGTGTCTGAATTCATGAAAATATTTACTTTATAGCCAGCCAAGCTCTGTGGGATTCAAGATCTTAGTGTCTTCTAGCCTTGCCAGGAGCAGGGACGAGGAGGAGCAAGTCCTGGGCGTTTGACCCAGGCTGGCCAACAGCGTTATTTCATACCATGAACGTCACATTCAATATAAATTAGAAAAGTTTGCTGCGTAGAGCTCTCTCTCTTGATGGCCATGGTCCAGAGAACTCCCTGCCCCAGTGCTGGACCCGAGTCCTTCCCTTCCTCCCAAAGCTGCAGCGCTCGCAGTGTCCCACACTGGCTGTCCCTGCAGGGAGTGCACAGCTTCCTACTGATAGCATTGGCTGAGTATAATTCTTGTGTATCTTATATCAGGATCAGGATTAATACTAGTTCTTTAGTATTATTGTTAATTATTTAGTCTTATCTATTATATCTATTTATCTCTCAACCCTCATGTTTCTTTGTGTTCCCTGATTCCCCTTTCCGGGTGGGAAGGGCTCATCGGGTGATAGAACAATTTTCTAAACGGCAATAAATTGTTATGGGTTTTCTCAAACCGTAACACCCGACGAGCGCAGTGTCACACGGGATTGTTTTTAGGTTGTGGCAACGTGATTGTAACAACTACAAATTCACAGTAACTCACTCACCAATCTGTGGGGCAACAGAAAGGGCTTGATAGTAAAACCGCTCAGCCAGCAGCTCCGTGTCCACACCTGCCAGCTCGTTCTGATAGCGAGCTGAAAGAAAACCACACGTCCCCCATCAGAAACCAGAAGGCAGCGTCTTCTCTTCCCTTCTGCAGAGCAGCACAGCTTCCCCGCAGATTGAAAATACCACAAAACTAGAAATACTGGCCAAGTCAACAAATCCATCAAAGAACTGCTCTTGGCAAAACACAGGAACGTGGAGGGTTTGCCAGGCCCCTTTGAAGCGCTTTAACCGCGCTGCTCCGCACAGCGCAGCCCCCGGGACGCGGGGCAGAGGGGAGACCCCTCAACGCTGCCGGCAGCGAGTGAGCAAAAGGAAGACATTCTTCTGGAGACATTCTTCTGCCCCAAGCGTTAAGCGCCAATTCATTTATCCTTGAAATAACTCAAGAGTTGTGCTCCATTTTCCAGCACCTCAAACATCCTACTACAGAGTGTGAAATCTAAAGCACGCCAGCTGACACATATATACAAACACCTGGCTGTGGCCAGACTGCACTTTAATAATTTATCTTTTTTTTTTTTTTTTTTTGACAACAGTAGGCATTTTGGAAACCTCAGGTGAAAGCACTGCGAGGAGGTGAGCACACTTCTCTCCCACCAGTCAGGTAAGTCATTCTTACTACCCCCATAAAGACATTTAATTTACAATGCCATTTTTAGGCTGATTCATGTGCAGCGATAAAATGCCAAACAGCTTTCAAGAGCTCGAAGGCTGCTGCGTGTCAAGCACATTTCCCTGCACCACACTGCAAATAGCTGCTTTTCACACAATTACATGTTTTCTCACTGCCTTCACTCCCACATGTTCACAATCGAGCAAGAAGCTGACACACCACACGCTTCAGGAGGTCGTGACTGTGGGGTAGACACGTCTGCTATAAAAAAAAAAGGACGACGCGCAGCCAGACACAGTGACAAAGAACCTGGGGCTTTGTCCCAGGGGTCTGGCCGCCCTGGATTGATTCAAATATTGCTTAACGAATCTGATTTGCAGTCACACTTGTGCTGGTGGCAGTGGCTCCGTAAGGCAACCTTAGAGCAAATCTCAACTGAGAAATCAGCCCACTGAGTTTCCTTCACACTGCTCAGACAACATAAATAAAAGCAAAAGCTTCCATTCTTATGCAGCCATGGACACAGCTGGTTATCACCAGCAAACTCCTCAGCTACTTGCCCAAAACCAAAGATTCTGCAGTTTGTAGCAGCTCAGCTATCCACTAGGGTCAGAGGGAAACCAGTGTCTGCAAGTCACTGTGGCTGGTGACTAATGATGGACTCAGCACTGTGCAGGCACCAGCTTTTCAACACATTAAGGGTTGCCCTGAAAGGCAACACTGTCCTTACCTAGATCTCCCAGATACACCAGACATCTGTGACATGCCATCTGTGCCCACTCCATCTCCTTCTCCGAGGCAGACACGGGTTTCTTGCAGCCTACACGGGAAATATGAAATCACAGACAGCGCCGGGTGCTGGACAGACAGAGGAGCAGCCTCCGAGACACCCAACATTTCACCGGATGAAAACAAAGAGCACGTGGTCAGAACACACTGTTGGTTGCCATCTGTGGCATCTTATAGACCAGCACTGATTTGTTCTTGTTGTCAAAATGTGGAAAATAAACGTAGAGGAAATGTGTAGACACTGATGCTCGCCCACTCACAGAATCACAGAATCCCATGGGGTTGGAAGGGACCTCTGGAGATCATCTCCTCCAACCCCCTGCCAGAGCAGGTCTACCCAGAGCAGGTCCCACAGGAACGTGTCCAGGTGGAGTTTGAATGTCTCCAGAGAAGGAGACCCCACCACCTCCCTGGGCAGCCTCTTCCAGGGCTCTGCCACCCGCAAAGTCAAGAAGTTCCTCCTCATGTTTAGGTGGAACTTCTTATATTCAAGTTTGTGCCCATTTCCTCTTGTCCTGTCCCTGGGCACCACTGAAAACAGACTGGCCCCATCCTCCTGACATGCACCCTTTAAGTATTTATAGGCGTTGATCAGATCCCCCCACAGCCTTCTCTTCTCTGGACTAAAAAGCCCCAAGACCCTCAGCCTCTCCTCCCAAGAGAGATGTTCTAGGCGCCTCATCATCTTTGTAGCCCTCTGCTGCAGAGGGCTCCCTGCCCAGGTCCCCACTGCTGAGGTGCAGTGCATGTCACCTCAGCACTAAGTCACTGAAACGATGTCACTCAGACTTTGTCTACAAGCAATGTCACCGAGAGCTGGCTCCGTTTGCGCTCAGATGAGGGGACAAAGGCCAATTCCTGTCCACACCCTACGTGATCGTGTTAACACAGCATGGAGCAGAGGTAATAAGGCCTGTTGAGAGGCCAATTTGTTCACGTGGCTAATGAGGCTTTCGGATGGGAGCCGGTGCAAAGCCCTGGGAGCCAGAACAAAGTCTGAGCACACTCACACCTGGCAGCAGCGCACGAACCCTCCCCAACATAGAAGATGGAAACCAACTCATTGTCTCAAAGACTGAGATGTAGATTTAAGGCTGGCCAACCAAAAAGGGAGGAAGAGAAGTAAAACAAGGCAAAAATGAGGAGAGCAAATGTGTGCTGTAGACAGGGTGGCTGCTCTCAGTTCAGAAGAACTGTCTCTGTCCAGAAGAGGGCAACCAAGCTGGAGAAAGTGCTGGAAGGAATGTCCCATGAGGGCATTCCTCATCCCAGAGCCTGGCTGAGGACTTTGGGCTTGTCTAGTCTGGAGCAAAGGAGGCTGAGGGGCAACCTCTCTGCAGCTTCCTGGGGAGGGAAGGTGAAGAGGGAGGCCCTGAGCTCTTCTCCCCAGGATCCAGCGATAGGATGTGTGGGAATGGTTCAGAGCTGCGTCAAGGGAGGTTCAGACTGGCCATGAGGAAGCATTTCTTTACCAAGAGGGTGGTCAAACCCTGGAACAGGCTTCCTGGAGAGGCAGTCTGTGCCCCAAGCCTGTCAGCATTTAAGAGGCATTTGGACAATGCCCTTAATAACAAGCTTTAACTTTTGGTCAGCCCTGAAGTGGTCAGGCAGTTGGACTGGATGATTGTTGTAGGTCCCTTCCAACTGAAATACTCTCCTCTATTCTACACTGAACTTACAAAAGAAAAAGAAAAAAAAAAAAAAAAAAGGCAGTTCAGGCAGTGGAAAGTGTCGAAAGCAGCAGAGGAAGGCTGCAGCCAGCTGACCTGAACTAACCTAAGCCACCAAACATGACTCAGCTCCTGGGAGGGGCTGCCGCTGGCGAGACCCTGCTTCCCCTCTCCCCACCAGCACCTTCCCCAGGGCCAGCAGGGCCATGGCAGGGCCAGAGACCAGGAGGACGTGGCCACTGTTCTGCTTCCTCTCCAGAGGGCATTTACTGTCCCCGGGCAGACCAGGACCATTCAGTCTTCCTTTTGCCAAGGACTCCCAGCTTCTGGAGAAGAAAATTCCCTCAAGCAGGAATCTCAAAGGAAGGTTTTTAAGCCTCATCCAGCCTCCTATCTGAGCTGCTTCCCTCCCAGCTTAGTTTAAAAGCCTCCAGATTTCACTTCACTCTAAAGCGACCGGTGAGGAATGGTTCTCACTTGTAACAGGCATTGTATGAGTTGCATTATACAAATACCAGCCTTCAAATCCGTGCCCACATATGCTACTGGACCCATCCTCCCTTCCTTTTTCGCTTTGAATCCTCTCACTGCCATTTATAGACCATCAAGTTGTGTCCACCCTAATTTGTAGTTCATATGGGATTCTTATACATCCATCTTTTCCAGATACGCGAGGTTGTATCTCTATAATCCAGTTATGTAGTCATCTGCCGAATCCTTTTAATTAAAGAGTCTAAACACATTAAGAAACCTGAATAAGGGGAGCCTTCCAAATGCAATCACGCACCACAGGGTACAAACCCATCTGGAATGCGCATTTTGAGAATTTATTAATTCTGCAGCACTGAGCCACATTTCTCAAAGCAACAGTTGCCAGGGACATCTGCCTTTTAAACGACATTTCAAAGCCAATCATGATACAATCATCTCCCAGCACTAAGAATAGGATACCAGCAACTAAAACACTCTGTTGCTAAAGACATACTAACTTCTCTTATGCCTGTTTCTGCTGCATGTCCCCCTCCTGCCAATTAAACCCTTGTGTCACAGGTCACAAAACACACAGAGGCTCTGTTTCTCACAGAAACACTTGCCTTGAGGCCACTGAGCACAACCCAGGAACAAACGTGAACAAACTATTATAAGGTAATCAAGGACGTGAATGCAAAGGCAGCCTTGAGCTGTCTCAGGCTGTGAATGCTCTTATTCTTCCCTCCCTAAGAGGTGAGATCCCTCAGATCACCCTGTGTCTAAGGGCAGGGACAGGTAACACTGTACTGTGTCACAGCAGCGTCCTCATGTTCTCAGTCCCATGTTCACCAACAGTTTCCCAGCTACACCCAGTACAAGAAGAAAGGACATTAAGGGAGCACAGACAGAAGGGGCACCAAGAGGAGGAACAGTACCTTACACCTAGCAAAGAGGATGTCCTGACAAAAATCTGGTGATTTCAAGAACCCCAACGCCCCATTTGTCTGCTCTAATTAAGCTTTTAAAAACATTCTGTACAGCCAGAAGTGCTCTTCAATTTTCCACAGAAATATGCCATCACCAAACACTTACTAAAGAATTTTCTAAAAGCTTTTTCTTCCTGTTAGAAACCCTTCTTTCTTCCCTATTTTAGTATTAAAAAAAAAAAAAAAAACCAACAAAATAGTGCCATGGAGAAGAGAGCAGCACAGACAGTCTGTTCTAAACAGCTAATCAGGAAAAAAAAAAAAAAAAAGATAATCCCTTGAATGCTGAAAGAAAGCTGGACTAACCAAGGGGAAGCCACCTGTCTGGGGATTCAGGCCATGCCCAGAAGCCCAACGCGCCGAGCACTGACCTATGAGAGGGTCCGTTACGTGCGTCCAGTCGATGCAGCTCTGCAGCTCCAGCTGGTAATGGGACTGGATGTAGAGCAGAAGGTGCTGGTAAAACCCTATGCCAGCAACTAAGTGAGTCCGGTAGGCGCACTCCAGCGTGCTCCGGCTGTGAATGTGCTGCGGGGAGGACAAACGAGAACATGTCAATGCAGTCGGGGTCACACCTCGGGCTGCTCGCCCAAGTTACACCAACTATGAAGCACAGGGCAACGGGGAGCTCGGCTGTAACTGGTTTTGCACAGTTCTGTACCCCCCTCTTGCTCAACAATCTTGTACTCAGGGGTATTTACTGAGGGGCAACATCAAGAAGGAGAAACGCTTGACACAACAACAAATAAATAAAATCAAGGTGTCTGGTTAGAGCACCTTAAAGACATTCAGACAACCAGATCACCAGGAGAGAGTTCATGGCCTGAGAAAGCACAAACTGAGAGTACCTTCCAGTGATCAGCTCTAGCACAAACAATCAGTGCTGAAAAAGCCTCTTAAGGCCACCATTCTACACATATACATGTTTTTTGAAGATGGGAAGACATAAATTAAGCAAATTATGTTGAAATACTCTCTGCACTGGCAGCTCTCTCAGCAGATCCTCACAGCTCACCTCCCCACGGCCAGACAAAAAGGTACTCAGCCCACGATTAAAATTCAGGGGCACCTGGGTTCCTGCCCTGTGCTCAGACCACAACTTCTCCAAGCAAATGAAGCTTCTAACTTGGTCTCACCCACTGCACAGCCAGAGACCCTCTCATGCCAGATCCATAGATACCTGCCTTTTTATTTGTTTTAATGAGCTGGATAACTTCATAGTAAACTTTCCTCCAGAGCAGTTCTTCTGCTTTTCTTCCATAATCCACTGGATGCAAGAACATCAGCTTCACACACAGCTCCCGCAGCCTGAGACAGCAGAGAACTCACATTTAGCTACAGAAGCTTCAAATACAGCTGTCGCTACATAAGCATGGGAGAGGAGAATCTGAATTCCTGCCGAGGGATAAGCTAGGCCATCTGGTGATGGCACAGCTTGTGTCACTCCCACACCAGAGCATCTGGAAGAGCCATACACCTCACCAGTCACCTCGGCCCAGCTGCCCATCAGCAACTTCCTACATCGCAGTCATGTCAGGAATTGTCTTGACAGCTTAAAAAATTAGTTAAGAAAAATCATCCCTGCCAGGCACCCTCTGAACCTGATAGAAGATTTCACACACACACAAGAATTTTCTTCACCACACAGTTTTTTAAAGGTCATTAAAAGGAAGGCACTGGCCAACGTGAAGATGACTTCTTTGTATTACAGCAACTCCCAGGAAAACCTCCAGCCCTGGGCTGTATGGTCAGGTGCTGCTCAAACACAGATCTGAGATCTTGCCTCTGCCTCAAAAACCTGGAGGGATCCCAGGTCATCAGGGGCACTACGAACCAAACACACTGTGAGACTGCAGAGTCACACCCTCCACGAGTTGCTTCACATGGATTTTCTCCAGCCAAATAGATTCACTGAATGGTGTGGGTTGGAAGGGACCTTAAAGGCCACCCAGTCCCCCCCGTGCCCTGGGCAGGGCCACCTCCCACCAGCCCAGGTTGCTCCAAGCCCCCTCCAACCTGCCCTTGAACCCCTCCAGGGATGGGGCAGCCACAGCTTCTCGGGGCAACCTGGGCCAGCGTCCCACCACCCTCACACCAAAGAAGTTCCCTCCTGAGATCTCATCGAAATCTAAAAAACCAAGGTGTTGCCCAACTTACTTGTTCCTCAAGCTGATGTTCTCCGGCTTGAACACTTCCTGATACGCTGCCTTGTTACCAAGGATGAGATCCAAACGATGGACGGCCTCTACCACTGCTCTGCAAGGTGACACAGAAAGAAGAGTTTCAGAATAGCTGTTTATCTGAGGCCAGTCCATGAGATCCGGGATGTCTGCACGGAACCACACCAGCCCAGTTATTTCCATTACTAGCAAGCCACATTATACCACCACACCATATCAATTGATTTCCTTTCTGCACTCTATTTTAAAAAGCTTATGGAAATAAGGGAAAAGCAGTTACATATGCTGTAATGATTTTGTGGCAAATCAGCTGTTTAATGACCAGTTGCTGCTGCCTGTCTCGTCAAAAATGTCAATTATTTCTACAGTGGCAAAGTCAGAAATGTCTATGGACATGTCAGCAACTTTTAACCTCAGCAATTAAATCATGCTATACATACACCCACATTAATTTAAACATCTTAAACACTGTGAATTAAAAAAAAAATGGATTGATTTCTAACAATTACTGTTTTGAGAGGGTAAGAGTCAAACCCCCACCAATTCATTTCCTCACATACTTGTCTATGAAAGAAGGCAACTCCCATCACTCATTGGCCAAAACCTCCTGATCTTCGTTACAGTGATTAATCGATTAAAGCCCTTAAGGATCTCTCCACGATAGGTAACAGATACTCAAACCCAGCCTAAAATATGAAATCTGTGACAGGATTTTTCCCCTGAAAGCCAGCTAAAAGCCAGACCAAGCACCCCCTCCAAACCTCTGAGTCATGCAAAAAAATACTGCTGTGAATCACTGCCCAAGACTCTCCTCCTGGAGGAGGAACACCGCACTGTGTGTAAAATCTCAAGTACTTGAAAGTTTGGAGCTGTGAACAAATCAGGCTAAAACGCTGCAGTGAAATAAACCCAGGGATTTAGAGAAGCTTTAGTGCTTCCAGACAGTACCCTCAACATCTCAGGGACGGTTTGATAAAGCACAATCGACCAGTCGTGTTAAACCCTTCCTTCCAAGCGAGATCACCTCTAAAGCTCTGCCTTTTTAACCTCTATTTGAGACCAACAAACTGACTCCTGAAATAAACTTTTCCCAGCTGTTGACTCGAGATGTTCCTCTACGAAACCTGTCCTCCAAGCACCCCCAGCATCTATCACACTCCACAGGTACTTGTTGCCCCCCACGGCTTCACATCCCTCACTCGTCTGCTCTAACACCTTCACTGCCCCACGCCAGAGCTGTTCGAATGAGACGGTGAAAACAAACAAGATGCATTGTAAATACAGCATGAGGCACTCCATCAGAGCAAACTTCTGCAGAGCACAACAGCTGGATGCTGCTCCCAGCCTGCTCCTGCTCCTCCTCCCCGAAACCTCAGCATGAACTCCCCCCAAAATCCCAACACAAGCTCCTCACCACACTCACAGCACGACCCAGGGACTGAACCGTGTTTTCCATCACACACACAACCGGTCACCAAACTGAACCCAGGGCACTCACAAGCAAGTGAACCCACACAAACCCGCGTGCTAAGGAGGTAGCCTGAAACCACCACCACTTCCTTGAAAACTACAGCTATTACTGTGAAGTAACTGACGGTTTCACACACCAGCCCCGTCCTCGCAGGGCAAATCTCCTTCCACCAACCACACCAAAAGGAGCCTCCCCGAAAAACCCCAGAACATTCAGGAGCTCAAAGAGAAAATGTCCCACCTCACGCTACGTCATGGGAAGCCTTTCATTCAAGGGTAACTGGAAATCTCATTTGTTTCCAGTAAACCACAGAACCTGACAGAAGAGAAGCGCAGGGAAAAGGACTGTCTTACACAATGGCCTGGGAGATCAAAACACTGCAGCATTGAACCAACTTCTTCCTAAATGATCATGAAGGAAACCAAGAACAGAGTAAGAATCACACACAAAAGTCTGCTCCTAACCTTGATATCCACAGTCACTTCTGCTCACCAGCATCTTTCTCATGTGGCCTGAAAGACCTTTGCAAACTCCAACAACCCAGTACCCTTAACAGTAAATAAGGTGAGCAAAATGCTTTTTCATTTACAGGTAAAAGGCAGCAAGTATGAAGCATTCATCCCAGTTCACAACGTACTGACGGGGGGGTGGAAGGGTGGACAGGGAGAACCAAGAAGCCCCACGTACACATTTAGCTTCCCCAAAATAGATCTCCACGGAGTGACAGGCAATAAACACATTCTTACTGCAACCTGTGATTAACGTCCTGTCACCGCATCTCTCAAAGACCCTCAGCAGGAAGCGAAAAGCGGGGCTCACGGGGAACTGATTTGTTTCCTACGCAGAAGGGCCACCAGAAGAAAGGGGAACTGCTGATTCATTTGATTCCCAGAGAGAAGTATAGGAAAACTATGATCCTCTAGTCCCAAAATAGGTGGCCTCTACATCTTCAAAATAGCTCTAAAAATGCATTCACTGTGCCCGGCAGCTACTGCGTGTCTGGTACGAGCTCACATGTCACTGTCACCTCAAGGTGGGAAATGATTTCACGGTGACTACAAGCAGTCGACACCTGCACCCAAGGACACGGTCGGCCCTGAGGGCGGGATGTCACACGTGCAGGTGTGAACACATGTGTTCAAATCCTCAGGGGCAAGTTAACTGTATTCGACGACCCAACACTGACTCCTCCTCTGCCACTTACTCAATTCAGACTCCCTTACGGGCACATGGTCCAGGTTCTCCCACTGCTCAGTAGCTCACATGCCAAACAAGCCTCTATTTTTTTTTTAAATCTGAAAAAAAACGGGTCACAAAACCTCACCTAAGAACTCTCCTGAGTTCAGCAGTGACAGAAATACATCTTTATTCCATGCAGCGCGACACCAGTGAAATAACAGGAATTACTCAAAAAGCAGTTGCCAGAACCCCCTTTCCAAGTTCATAGAATCATTCTGGTTGGAAAAGACCTTTAAGATCCTCAAGTCCAACCAGCCCCGTTAACCCAGCCCCGAGCAAACAGACAGCTATTTGGCTGCCAACAGCATCAGTGGGGAAGAAAAGGGCTCAGCCAGTTAAGGAAAAACTTCTCACACTCAAACTCCTGCCAAACATGAAGTACAGAAAAGTTTCCTTCCGGGGACTCTCTGAGCAGGGACTCTGGAGGGTGTTTCACCTTCCCCTCAAGCACGGGGTGGGTGACACCCTAGAGAGTGTCTCCCACACCACCCTGTATCCTACAACAGGCAGGGATGGGCACACGAAGACACTGGTGGCTTTTGCTACTTTTTATGGGTTCATTAAAAAAACAGAGTGTTGGTGACTTGAAAGTTTATCTTTTAGGATGTGGGTTTCTGAGCTGTAAGGCAGAGGGCAGACCCCACGCTCAAGTGTCTTCTTAGCACGAGCTCCGTGGTGCTGCTGGAGGAGACAGAGGCAGGAGTAAGGAATCTGTGACAGCCCATGACGACCTGCAAGGATCCCATGTCTGCAGCGGTGAGGAAAGTGGACACGGTGAGGACAAAAAGCCAGCCTCACTCCAAAAATGTTAGCAAACATCAACACAGGCGGTCCAGACCATGCACTGATTAAAAGGCTATTTAGGATTTGCGCTTGGCTTGAGACCATAGGCTGAGTTTTACTTAGCAGTTAAGCAGCCAGATTTTGTCCCAGTACCCATTTTTATACCTGCTGGGTTTAAATGCTGCTTTCAGACAGCACATCAGAACCACAGAGGAGGCAAATCAGATGCCAGTCTATTAAAAGAACCAAGCACAGCACATCATGCCAAGCAGGGTGGAAATGGTCCAAGGTGAAGTCCTCTTCAGCCACGCAGACACCCGTCTATCACTCTCCTCCCGTGCCACTAACATTCTGGGATGTGGCAGGGAGAATTATTTGCCCTCTCTCTATTTCGTTATTTAATAAATCACTCAGAGCCACAGTTTCTGAGTAGTAAGACATTTCTCGGGGAAAGGAACTGCAGCCATTCATTTGTATTCTGGCATGTGGCAGTACACAAATAATACTGCCCAGAACAAGGCTGGCAGACAAGAATAGTAACGCAAAGCCAATGAGCTAATGGTTACCCAGAAAAAAAAAATATCTGTAAAATAAATCCAGTCACCCTACACTAAAACACACATCGTAAAACAGCACTCAGGGTAATCCAGTTGCCACATTCTGAGGTGAAACTCGGGCATTACCAATCCAGGAAGATTTAAATGGAAAAGATCAAAGACCATCCTACGGACAGCGATGGGCAACCACATCTCCAAAAGGACACGCCAATGGCCAACACACTTGCCAAGAACCACGGAGACCTGAGCTGAACTCCCACTGCTCTCACAAGCAGACCCAAAGCTGATCCCACGTGGGCAGAGTTTATAGCTGGGACTGTGACATTCAAACATCTCCGATTCAGAGGCACTGTTTCATGCAACGGCCAAACGTTTCAGAGACAGTCAGTCACCACACAGAGTACAACGTGCTTCTCGGGGGACAGGAAGTTACCACTTCATCTAACTGAACTTCAGGCTGAAACAGAGAAGAATTGACAGGAGACTGTTACGGTAGAAAGCTCTCTAAGAGAGCTATCAGCTATGTAGCAAGAAAATTTGTGGCCACTGCAGGTATTATAAATCCTGCACTAAAGTCGCAATACTTACTTCCAGCTAAAAGAAGAGCCAGCTCTAGAGGAGTGTGGTTTTCTTTTTCTGCTGTAAAGATGCTATAAAGCAACGACACACCTTATTTTGCCATAAAAATTTAAACAGAAAACAACCACTTCCTTGCCTTGGTGACCAACGCCATGCCTGGTCGAGGGACGTTCACTCGGTAGCTCCAGCGGCACAGCGAGGCACCGCTTCTCAGGTGAGACAAGGAGCACACACATTCCTGCTCCACTGTGACCACAAAGTCAAACACATCTTAAGCCCAGATTGAGGTGGTTTAAACAAAACGCGTTCTCTTTTGCAAGCAGCAGCACACACATCCCCTCCGATCCCGGCCACCACACCTCAGGTGGCGGCAGGCAAGGTGTTACGCTGCAGCAGCTCCACTACCGCAGACGTGGGAAGCCATCCCTAAAATCAAACGGGGTATCTCGGTGGGACAGTAGATACTGAGCCCCACAGCCCTGCAGGTGCCTCCAGTGTGACAACACAGCCCACACCTCTGGTAATCCCAGCCATTGTGTCTTACCACTGACCTTGCAATAAGAAAGAGAAATGCACCCAACAGAACTTCAAAGCACAGGGAACGTGCTTGTGCGAAGCGCATCAGGGAAACAAACAAATTCTAGGAACTACCACTCCAACCTGCTATTACTGCTTTGGACTTCTGGGCAAGGATATTGCCCAGTTTCTCAGCAGGAGGCAAGCCTTGCCCTGGTTTAGAGGACCAGGAGATGAAAGGACATGCCCAATGTCATGAACCAAGTCAGCAAGACAAAAAGAAAATGAAGCCCAGAAAAAAAATCCATCTCTTGCCTTCATTATTTTGCTCATCTTCAAAACCCCACACTGTCACTGCTGAAACTCCACTACAAATCTGCTGTATTGATGGAGAAACCGAGACAGAAAGGGACAATTTCTGGGCCACGTGCATGAAACAAGTCATCAGCAAAGCAGAGGCCAGGCATCTCATCCCTGCTGGGCTGAGCTGATCAAGGCCACCGTTATTTCCTGAATCTTGTCTTCTGGCACTATTTCCAACGTGTGGTGCAGAGACATAAGTGAGAGTGGAGTCCCCAGGAGTGTTTTATTGCTAAGACCTGCAGCTGGAGCAGCCTTGCCCTCCACACAGCAGGAAAGTGCCCTGGCTCAAGCTCCTGCTCATCACACCTCCTTCTCCAGCCCTTCCACGGAATCCCTGTCCACTGTCAATGCCAGGGACCCCCTCTCCAGCCTCCCTCTCCTTGGATACCCCCCACATCTTGCCCTTATCCCACTGCATCCCCACACCTCCTTCCCCCTCAGCCCCTGTGACCCCCAAATCCCGCAGAACTCCTTCCTCCATCCTCCATGTCCTGACCCGTCTCCCTGGGTGCCCCACGCCCCCTTTCCCTCATCCACTCCCTACCTTCTCACCTGCCTTCTTCCCCCCATCTCTCCACTGCTCTCCCATCTCCTCTGGATCCCTCACAGCTCCCTTCCCCCCAACTTTGTTTAGACTCATCCCCCTGGACCCTCCATACCCCATTTTCCCCCGTGCCACCCCTCCACCCCGTGTATTTTGCCTCTCCTCTGGATCCCACACAATACCCTTGCCCCGATCTTCCCTCAGTTTCCCCCTTCTCCTTTCCCTTAGCACTGCCCCACTTCCCCTGGATTTCCCCTCATTTTCTTCACCTCAGCCTTCCCTAAATCTGGCCACCCCCGTCCCCTGTTTCCCCCAATCTTCTCTACACCCCACCACCTCGTTCTTCCCCCATCTTTCCTGAACATCCCTTCACCCTTCTTCCCCTCGGTTCCCCCCGGTCTCCCCTGTATTCCTTCCCACCTCCAGGTCCCCCTCCAACCTCCCCCAGTTCCCCCTCCCCCACTTTAAACCCCCAGCCTTC